TTTGACGTTTGTATATCAGGCAAGGCCTCATCACCAGTTATCTGATCTTTTGAAGCGCCACCTCTAGCTTGAACGCAATCCTCATATGACGGCGGAACTATACAACAAAGATTATAAAATAAGTTATTACATCCATTTATTTTAACCTGTTACCATTATCAATAGTATAGCTGAATAAATTAATGGTATACTTTACGTTTTAGTGATAAATATTGCATAGATCGTAATTACCTGTTACTTCATTTACAGTCGATGGAGGACGTGACATAGACACCGGATCACGAGAAAAACGACGCGAAGATATAGAACTTTGTTGTAAAGCTTGTAGTCGCCGCTGTCGAATATACCATGAAACGACGGTTATAACAAGAAAGAAAGAAGCGAAACATAATCCGAAAGAAACAGTCCAACTAAAGTATGTTGTTGAATGATTGTTGTTCTTGGGAGTTGTGGTACTCATAACAGTACCCCAATTTGCTACAGTAGTGGGGTGATCTAAAATCATTGCGCCGATACATTTTATTAACAACATCAGTATGTAATTATATCAGTTTTATGCATTTTCTTTGCAACTTACCAAAATTTGCATGATGATCCATATACGATGGATAACTTGTCATATCTGTCAGAAATGAAAAAATAATACTCTAGGTAAAATGCATTATAATCTCCAACCTAAGCAAACATAACTGGTATTATATATCTTCCTATAAGATTTTCTTTATAACGCAGACATACGTCAATAGAATTCAACTGCATCAATAATGATTGACTTACTTGTTTTAGGCTTTGAAAACCAGCTGAAGGCAAGAGTAGTATTCCTTAGCGGCGGCATGCCGTTCGATTTCGTAATAGCTATCCAAACGACGTTAGATATCGTACTCAAGTTATAAGGCATGCTATCACCAGAGCCAAAATAATTGACGTACTTCTTTAGATCTGTAAGGAATAATAGCCACACTAATTAAACATCTTTAACATGAAAAAATTTTCAGAATTAAGCTTAAACCTTTATAAGCTACGGTATCTACAAAGACTTGCAATATTGATTGCACCATCATATTAAACTCGTAATTGCATAATTTGCATCGAATGAGATTAGCCTTACAAATACGCATTTACAGAATTTATGTAACTATAAAATGAATTATTTATTTGGTATTAATTCAATCCATTGCGATCAAATTTACCGATAGGGATGGTTACACCAAATTTAACAAATGTATTCGAAGGAAAGCCGATCATTGAAGTTTTATTAAACTTGACTGTAATTCCGTAACTTGGCTGCACCTTGATCGTCCAGCCGCAGTAAGGGAAATTAGAACCATATCCCTTATTAATCCGCCCAGATGAATATTGGAATGTTGTTGCATGCGAGCAAGTATCACCTACATTTAAATAATAGCAACCACCAAAATGAAAAATAATAAAGCTTATATATCTAAAAATGTTATAGTAATAGGCATCAGTTCGAAAGTATATCTACTATAGATTTGCACTCTATCAATATAGTATAATATAAGATCTGAATAAAGTATCTCCCTAATTTAATAGCGTAAGTAAATTTAGAAATATTAAGAAACTTACCGAAATAAGGACCAAAATGAAGCTTGAATTTAGGGCTGTAATACTTATGTGTGTTATTGTTGTAAAATTTAACGTAAAATTTGTTGGTAAATAACGACTCCACGGGTTCTGAAATTCCGTTACTTAAGCTATTATAGACAACGTATTTAGATGATGTTTGCGATGCAATTACCAACGATGAATTGGACGGTAACTTCAGATCACGCAAGTAAAAAGTCAGCATAATATTTTCCCTGGTTTAATAAATGCGCAAGAACAATCAGAAAATACTCATTATTTTTTGAAAACAATATATGTAGATATTAGACCGTCGTTCAATTACATGACAAATTGGCTACTTGAATTTTTGCTACCAGAAATCGATAATATTACCTACCCTGTCTGAAAATGCCAGAAACACCACGGTTTAACGAAACGACTGCCATTCAATTCGATCATTCCACTCAAATCAGAGTCTTTGTGGTAATAATTAGTTAACGGACCAATCATATTGCATTCTATTGATCAAATTAGTAAATGTATCCGATTATTACTCCTACAGTAACATGACCTTTCCACTCCACATCTGCATCATCATTTAACGATCATTTAAAATTATCGATAATCTCTTCCTGAAGTTATGGCAGCATGTATCGTGTAAAGTGTAAAGTACAACCAGAATTGAGATAGAATTTAATTAAATAAATACCTAATTTATGAGGAGTTGTGAAATGCTTCACTAAAAAATATATATTTACTATTTCATATTTAGCGTATTCACGTTGAAAACAGTACTAATATTTCACAGATATAATCCATAAGGTTAGATAAGTCCGCATAAGCGTACTCACGTTCCTCGTAAGTTACCTTAAATTAACATAACTACGCTTAATCTCTCGCATCTCAATCCACTAGACTTTAACGGAAGTACAGTACAGTAATTTAGAAGTAAACGAACAGAAAATCTGGATGAAGTTATTATCGCTAACCATTGCAATCGACAAAATAAATTGCAGAAGAGTAAAAGTTTATATATAACAGCCCAATAGTTAACTAAACTACGTCATACTGCTACAAGAAGAGCTATTTATCATAGGAAAATTTTCGAATTATACTGGATTGTCATTTAGAAAGGCACCGATGGCAACTACAGAAAATTCTTTCCATACTTTCACAGTATATGGGTTGTGACAGTGATTTATATATAAACTATAACGTTATTACTTTAACTAAATAATAACCAGTTTACAGTCTCTCCAAGCTTGCCTTTACTCAATCAACCCAATAAGAGTAAATCATGAAGCCGTTAAATACTAACAAATATTCTAATGTTTCTACTATTAAAATTATTATCGGCATATAAAATGCTAATACACATTATTAAAAATAAGTATTACAAACGTATCGAGAAACTATTAGATTAGATCTACAAGGCAACCAATTTAATTATAGTATAGGTTAAGCCTACAGAGTCATTACTCAAGTCTAAACTAACAGTTATGCTATTGTAGTTGATACGGTACTAATTTCAATTAAACTTGAACAATTGAAATTTAAAATAGAATAATTAATGTTACTTATTCTGACGACAGACGTTATCGATTATAAGAAAAGCATATATGCTAACAATGGATAAAAAGACCGATCAATTTCTGACGCTACGATAGCATCATTAGACAATGTCAGTAAAACGTGAATTATTCTAGCTGATTGTCGAAATAACTTTCAATTGCAAATAAATATACCACTACTGAATATGTCGACTTACTTTGAGAAATGTTCACAATTTGACCTACAATTATAAATAGAAAAGAACACGATGGTAAGTAAGGTGAAATATAAAGCTGAAAAAATATCCAAATCTAAAAGTTTTATTTTTGTCATTACTTTCTTCATGAAAGCTGTATCAATAGCAGTACCAAATAACAAAAAAATATAACCACATTCCCCCAACAATTATTACTAAAATGACATTGGACTAATGGCGTTTTTTGTAGTAAGCTTATATTACATTTCTTTCCCTAAATTGTCTTCATCATTGAGTGATGCGTAATGGCTATCGATGGAGGTTGTGCCATAGTGTATGCAACGGCTTTCCATAGACTACTACTGGTCTTTTTCTAGTAGCCTTGCCGAATGTACTATACCCTTGTAGAGTACAGTACAGAAAGGACTCTAGGTCAGGATTAAGGAATGATTTGAGCAATATAGATTTAACAAGGTCGATTACTACCGTCACTATCAAAACTTTTGATGGAATCTATCCATAGTTTATGGTTAAAATATTGAAAAATATCGTACATAGAGATAGGGCATATTGTCACATCCGCTGAGATATCAACATGGCTACCGTTACATTCTCAGCATAAATTTAGAGAATCTATAGAGGTTTCTTTACCATTACTGTGCGTGAGCTAATTTACATTTTAGGATTCTCAGTAGTACGTTTATACTCGTATAAGTCCCTATTATCATAGTACTGAAATGTCAAAATATTGCAAAGCTCTCTTTATGTCTTTAGTCGTCTGTACTATACTACTTACACTACAACCAATCCCTTTGAAAAATCACCTCTTAAATCCATTATATCTACTAGCAGATAATCACGAGAGTTACTCAGTTACTATTCTTTGCGTAAACGATGTTTATGGATATGTATAAACCACCATGAACTCAAGTGTAGCATGTTCCTTCCAAATAAAATATTAAACATACCCATCCGATAGATTTACGCAATTTTTAGTTGAGTTACTTCAAATTCAAAGTAAAATTTTTAGAAATATGTAGTCATGACAATTAGGCTAATGCAAATCACAAACAAGTCTTATTGAGTTGTCGAATTAATATTCGCTCGCGGAATAAAGCCATCACTGTAGAATATACGAGGTATTCATTGTCGATAAGAACAGAGTCATGTTACAAAATTTTTTAATGTAGACTGTTTTAATTGCAAAGCGCTAGTGGCAGAATAATGATAAATGAAATTTCTTGACCGTATACTGTGCTATACTCTTATCGACTCATAGTTACACATCATTATCGACGAGATACACTGTACCGTATAAACTTGAATCGGAGATTGCAAGCATTCTAAAATAGTACCTTTCTTAAAAATATTTGGTTTTTGGCACCAGTAGCACAGCATGCTGGTACAATATTAATCTCAAATTTAATTAGCCTACCGTATTTCCATATAGCAGTAATATCAATGCCTATGTAAATACTTAATAATTTCTGGTTAGTAAGATTTGATCAAAATTAATACGATATCAATGATGAAAGAGTAAAGAAACTATCTAACTTATGCACACAGGTATGATCCTGATTATTGTAGACAAACTTTTGAGATTAATCTCAAAACAGAGTGAATAATTAATTATAATCAATTATCATTAGTCATATTCTATTCTGGATTACTTGGCAAGTTACTACTTATCCAAGATATAATCGAGAGAGAGGAGAAATCAAGATTTGTGCTTTTCTTTATAGTCTGCTCGATATTAGCTTGACTACTGTATAGCGCTAGTGACGCTCATACGGAGCTTGATAAGCTACCCTTGCTACGGTCGATCGGTAAACCTTGGATGGCTTCATTATTAATAAAGTGTACGGTGCACGGGTACCTAGTCACCCTTAGCAATTCTATCTGTTATAGCTATCCGTTTCCGTATTAAAAATCTACTACCAAAACAGTAAAGTGCAGTATATCGTGAACTGAATAAGGCTAATGGTCAATTTCGTTGACAGCGTTAAAGCATTTTCGAATCACTAATGAGCTTGAGTGAAAAATAACATCTAATTATAAATTTTGATTTTTTTATGCTGGTTCATTAGCTAGCCTCTTAAACACCGGTTCTATGCCATACTCCATAGTATACTATGCGCTACCGTTATGCGTTCATGTACTGTACTGTACACCAGTGTGCTGTACAGTGTAAAGTGGAGTAACAACCGTTACGTTTCCAATCGCTGTTGGATGAAAAATTCAGACTTATCATACTTACCACAGATTGAATAGTAACATTAACATTAGTTTGGAAATTAAACGTGAATTAACAGTTGCAATGTTAAGAGTATTCAGTAGTCGTTGTAGTCATTTCCCAAATCATGTTGGCGTTAGATTAGGAATCGAGTATGTACAGTAATGAGTTGTAGAAAATGTTGGTGAAAAGAAATTACATCCAGTGGAGAAAGCTAGAGGCCCAGTTGAGACCCTTATCATCAATGAATATTTCTTTTACAACGATCGGCTGTTTTATCAGTACGTTATGATATGAATTTGGTCAACACAATTTAAACCTTCGATTCATTTTCATACGAACCACCATGGAAGAAATTGGATCAAGTTGAGAAGGCCTAATTACCATCAATGAACATTTCTTCATTAAACGACAACTATGGCTGTTTGTCGCTATGTTATGATATTAATTTAGTTGATGCAATTTTACGCCATCTAACTTAATTTCATGCCAACAACTGTCAAGATGAGGCAAGGCTGAAACTGACTAGAGTTTAGCGAGAGATGACCCGACCCCTTTCACTTGAACTTGACAAGATTACAAGCATCACTGAACCCTATCGTTTCAACTATTCTCTACTCAATCCAAGTCAAAACGTAGTAAAATAAGAATGGTTCTTGGGCATAGAACATTAAAAACATTCAATTAATCAATAGCATTTTAATAATAACTATTCCATTGAACATGGCATTGGTTTGAGTTTTGGTTCGCTTGCACTGCTACCAACTTGGCAGTGAATTTTAAAAGATTGTATGAATTTTTTAACTTGACTATGTCAAATTACGAAATGAATATTACTTACAAGATATCCCAGCAACGCCCAGTACAAGCAATAGGCAAATCCTTAGAAATAACGCCATATTGACTAGGAAATGCCTTAGCCGTTTGTGAAAATTCAATCAATTTAGCCTAAATTCAATGAGTTTGCTGGTTGGGATTGCTTTGGATTTTTTCGCTAATCTTTGCCTAGGAATACACGTTAGCCGCTTGACGTGCTGATGTTATGTTGACTGTGGCCGTGGAGTGTAGTACACCCCTATATGGAGGTGAGTCCTAGTGACCGGAGTGACTTGGGGTAGAGTGAACTGTACTGTACTGTGCGTCTGTACCTTAGAATGTACACTGTACAGTGTACAGTACTGTAAATTGTTTTGACGCGATTGTACAATACGACCATAGACTAGAATGCGCATTTCTCTTACAAATCCATGGTACGCTCGCTACAATATCCGTATGTACTTGGAAAATGCATGTAGTGTACTGTACAGTGTACTGTACACTGTACAGTACAGAAATCAAGCCATGTGTACAGTCCATTGTACTGTAGACGATACACTGTACGGGACGGTGTACTGTACACTGTACAGTACTGTAGGTAATGGGTGACGTTCATGTGGTCGTCACTCTTTATAAACAACGTAGCAGGACGTAGAACGATTGTATCAAGGTTGACTTCTCCGTACCAGTTTGTGCAAGACAATCCAAGCCCCTTGTCGAAGAATTGAGTGTTTGTTTATTCGCCACGGAGAGATGCACGGTACGGTACAGAACGGTACGGTATGACGCGGTACGGTACAGTATCATGACCGTGAATGGACCCAATAGCGACTCGTCATCGTCCCTAGTCACAACGAACTCGTCCCTACAGTACAGTAGTGTACTAGACTAGAGTACATACTGTACATTATACTGTACACTGTACTGTACAGTACACTACATAGACAGTTGTTTTACTGTACTGTACTTCATAGAGTACAACGCGACGCACGCAATGCCTCCGCCTTCGTATAACTGATACTGATGAGTGGGCAATCATCGACAACAAAGATGGCGGCAACATCGTTTACTCTTCTCATTGACATAGACCAATGGATTGCATACCGTCTAGTAATAGTTATCAAGGAGTGTAAACGATTGTTACAGGATAGAGAAATGCCTACAATCGATTAGCTTCTCTTCAATAGTTTGCTAGATTGCTGCTAGCCGATCTTGCATGCCTACTGCCTAGCGAGATCGTTTGCCCATATTCAATATTCAGCGATCGAGAATAAATTATAATTATAATCGATACTCTATGATTGCTGTTGATCAACACGACTCTTGCGGCGCAATACAGCGAGGACTTGAAATTTTCTGCAATTTTAAATACCCATGATTGATTTTGGATTCATTAGTATTGGCTTTTATCCGTAAAGATTCTCAGAATAGTTGAGTTTATGGCCTTTGAAAGATAGAACATTCAGTTCTATTACAATAATTGGACTATTTTCAATTGAACGTCATAGTGATCCGTGCAATAACATCCGGGACGTAGAATTGGCAATCTGACGGAAGTGATTCCATGCTATAGAAAGTAACATCACCTGACAATGCAGTAATGCACTATCATAGCTGACTGCATTCGCTTTTCCATCTATCCAACTGAATAGATTCAGCTACTAAAGCACTAGAATTGATCTGTTCTCCAACTTGACTGTACCAGGGACTTTGAAGACGAATACAGTCTTTGACAAGTCGTCTTAAAAGTCCCGGTTACTTCCCGTACGCAGTCGTAGTACTCATTTTTGTAGCCATTCTTGACATACAGTAGATAGAAGATACACGAGAAGAACAATCAGTGAAGTATTCGTATGTACAACAGTACATAGATTTTGAATGATTCTCTTGATACATCAGTGATGACTCACTGATGTTAAGATGATAATCAATTCGCTTAATAAAGCATACTGTCGATTAATTCTATAAATATCGCATAGAACATTTAAAAATGACGGTAAATAAAATAAAAATGATGAAGTAGATTCATATCACTACAAGGATATTTGCTCAGGACAGTGTTGCATAACAAAGACACCATCAACCAATAATTAGAGTGGTTGTTTTATCAGCATTAGTTATTTCGTTTCTATGTTCTTTTAGACAGCGAATAAGATTAAAGCACAAAGATGCATCTTTATTTTTTATTTTTTTATTTTGGCGCAGTCTTTGTTATAGAATCCAAGTATTAACGCAGATACTAAGTTGCTCCAAAAGTGTTTTAAATGAATTCTCATTGATTACCCTTATTGGCATTGCTATTGTACAATGTTGTGTTCAACGTAGCATGTATACCGTATACGCGTATTATGGATCAATGCATAGTATGCCACAGATAAAATATCATACTCTAATCTTTTGACTTCAGTTTTAGCCAACTACTCATGCAATTCAAGGAAATAAAGTAAATTTGAGAAAGTACGGCACCAACTAGTAGACAGAGTATTTTTTCCCCCTTCTCATGATATACCAGTAATGTTATTTTAACTGAACGTATCTGTATACAATACACAGAGGCCAATCTTAAAACAAAATGCCGCAATACTCACTGTCGCGATACTCTCGATCACAATTCCTGACCCTCAACTTCATAGAACTAGTTCGCCGCTGAAAATTTGAGTGGATAACAGTATAGAATATTGATTTAAATCATTTTCGTTAAGGACTATGATCAATGTTGTAGAATTTACCAAAACATATCGATTATGCGAGATAGCATTAAAATATAGAGAGAGCAATATAAGTCGACGGGTTTTTTAAATCAATTTTAGCTGTTGTGATGAATAGAGCAAATAGTTATCATTATTAATTCTGTATGCATCAGAATTTTGATAAGTACCAGTAACTCATGTTGGCAAGTTGTCTCTAATAGATTATCTTTATTAACAGGGACGGACCATGATGATGATGGTGTAGGCATAGGGCCCATGAGCAATTAATGATGTATATACAGTACTACGTTACCGTGTACTAAATTGAAGGATTTCCTAAACCGCCTACAGTACAGTAGATTTTAAGTGTGCCTAGTCTGCTTATAGGGTTTATGTAGCACAGTTATTAGCATGATACATGACCATTTATGCAAAGCACGATATTCCGTTTCGTGGTAGTTTGAACTAGGTATTATCTTCAGTCATCGATCTAAACTCGTATTTATTTACGTATATATAATTACTTAGTGAGACAGATTTTAACAATACAGAAGTAAACTGGAGCATTTTAAATTCTACTATTACCAGTGACTCTTCATACTTCAATAGTCCTAATTTCCATCAGACTAGCAATATTAATGGTAAACATGTCATTAAGCGTGGTAAGGTCGTATTCTCTCATTCATATTGTCGTAAACTATCAATACACCCTTTTTGGGGAAATGCACCCAATTCAGACATCCTGACCAAAACACAAAATCCCACTTCCGTGTGTATTATGCAGTATATTATAATTATCAATTAAGGATAGAGAAATTACGTCATCGCTTCAAATTGGCTCCATGGAATCGTCATCAACTTTTCTATTAGTAGATGTATCAAATCTTATAGAACAGTTCAATAGGTAGCAGGATGTTAGGACCGAATTAAAAGTCATAACAAGATTGCATTAATGGTTGTCCACCATTGAGCAATTAAGATTCTAAAAGTTATTCCTAAAACACAATTGAGGGTATAAAATAATGAATTATTCATAAATACAATTTAAAGGAGAATCCATTACTAAAGCTATTATTTATCCTCCATAATATGCCAAACAATACAGAGATACAGCAGAAATGGCATACCTACAAATTATAATTAAGACATACCATTGAAGAACAATAAAACTGAAGATTTATCAACCGCTAGGTAAGAGCATTGCTTTCATATGATCATAGCAGTTGTCCGTATTGACCGCTTTAGTATGAACTATTTATATTATATTCCAAGCCAAGAGTATACCAATGGCTGTCAATGATTGATGACTAATATTAGTTGGGAAGGATTCGATACTGTAGCTCTTAAAAGGCAAATGTTTCTCCGATTAACTTTAAGTTGATTTATCGCAAGTTGTTCTTATTTATATATTAATTATATGAAAATGGACGATAAGGTGCGTTATGTCTGCTTTGACATCAATTGATTTCGCTGTCATTGCCGAAAAAACTATCCTAACTATGCAGTCTTACCTACAGCAAGCTCTTCCTTCTAAGCTCAAAAATATAGAGTTCTAACTATAGCGATGCTTAATGATCGATAATGAGTACTTGGTATGCAAACTTTTAAAATTTTAACGCAGTCATGAGACCACTTTCGTGTCCTATGGTACTTCTTATTTTTTACTGCAGTGAAAATCATTATCCATTAATCTAAAACTAATGATACTTTGCACTTTTCGACTATGGTAAAGAGTAGAAGTAGGCTTTGAGATGTATCTTCTAACTAACTGACTCATTGTAACCTAACTTAATAGATAATAAAATCTATATCATTTGATCAATGAATTAATCTACTTCTTATTTCTGGTACGAAAATTAGATCAAACAATGTAATTAGTCTAATTTTAATGTATACTATTAAATGAACACCTGAAGATAATGTTATAAATCAAGAAATAGCATTCAATCTAGATGCTTTTTGGCGCCTTATTACCAGCTAACCGTAACGATGCAGTTATTATTGGATTATTTTTTATGCACTTTGAGTAAATAAGAATTTTTTAAAAGTCATTACTTGAAATAAAAAGTACACAACATGACATTGTAACTTATATTAAGCATACCGTTGTTTAAATCGTGTTCTTAAAGTAAATAAAAATTCTCATAGACCTATAGGTCATGTATTATACTATCATCACTTTGTCGTGAAATAGACCAACAACAAACATGGTCCAAGTGATGATTAAAGAACGATATGTTGCCGAAAATTCAACCTATCCATCACTGCGAACTTAGTCTATCACTATAACCTTGTTGAATATCAAAATAAGCGATTTTGCCATATAAATCATTCTCGATACGTTAGAGACTCTATTGAATGACGATAAACTAACTATAGTTCCTTTTCATTAATATTATGTCCTATTCCCGGTGGAACAATGGTCGTCGGTAACACCTGCGGCATCCAATTATTGTTGCTGTCTCAGTAGGAGTAATGACAAAAAGAGTTTGCTTCTCAATCAACAGAGTAAATAGGCTAAATAACCCGTGACCTCTTTTCCAGAAGGATAACTAACAAATTTTCTTAGTAACGTTATTTGTCTAATCAATATGAGTAGTAGTAATAAAGCCGCTTGCAATATTATATAGCTATAGCGGTAACTTACATTGAACGACACTTTTCCAAGGAAATTGACGAGAGAGTATATCGCTGAGTCATTACTAAATTTATCCTTGATTAAATCACTATTACTCTTTAATCTATTACTATGGGAGGCGAGTATAGTCAATATCTTAAACCATCTCTTTCTAACAGTCAAACTAAGATAGCCACCGTCGATCCTGTTGCTAATAGTAGCAAAGTTATTACTAAAGTGGAATCGTTACGCCTAGCTGGTCGACGCCAATTTCAACAAGGCTATTACGAGCAAGCAAGATCAACTTATACAGAAGCACTTGATGTCATAGTTGGTTCCTATCAGATTACCATTGAAGCAGACGAAGCACAATGTGATATCTATCTCGATATTTCAATCTCATATTGTGAACAACATAGTCATGCACAAGCGGCGGAATTTTGTAATCAAGCTGAAAAATTAGCTCGTAAACTAAGTGATAAAGTGCGATTAGCAAAATGTTACGATTGTCGAGGCAAAATGAAGAAAATGACGGCCATGTATACTAAAGCATTGAAAGATTACAAAAGATCATTAGAACTGAAGCTGGAAATGTTAGGAGAAAATAATTTAGAAGTAGCTGATTGCTATGAAAACATTGGTGAAATTTATCACTTACAAGATGATTTTCAGACTTCTTTATCGCTTTTTCAAGAAGCTTTAAGTATACGGTTAGAAGTACTAGGTAACAGCAACTTATACGTTGCTGCATCCTATCATAACATAGGCAATATTTTCTACTCTCAGCAACGCTATGACAATGCACTTGCCATGTATCATAAATCATTGAATATTAAAGTTGAAATTTTAGGCACAAGCAATTTACCTGTTGCTGATTCCTATCATTGTATTGGAAACGTTTATTTAAAACAAGAAAATTTTGACAACGCTTTAACCATGCATCAGAAATCACTTAATCTCGCCCAGCAAATCCAAGGCAAGGATAATTTAGAAGTAGCACAAGCCTATTTTGAAACTGGCAATGTGCTTCATTGCCAGCGTAAATATAAGGATGCACTGTTAATGCATAGGAAGTCATTAAAGATCAGAATCGATTTATTGGGCAAGAACAGCTTAGATGTTGCTCATTCATGCCATGAAATTGGCAAAATTTATTACTCTTTACGAAATTATGAAAGTGCAATAGAGATGTTTAATAAATCATTAAATACGCGTATAAACCTATTAGGTGAAAAAAATTTACAAGTTGCTGACAGCTATCACGAAATTGGAAATGTTTACTTGAAACAAAATAACTGTGACATTGCTTTATCATCTCATCAATCGGCTTTAGATATTAGAATAAAATTATTGGGCCAACATGCTCTCGAAGTAGCGATTTCATATCATTGCATTGGATCTATTTACTATATGCAAGGCAGGTTGAAAGATGCATTGGAAATGTGCGAGAAAGCCGCGGAAATTAAGCGTGATATTTTAGGAGACTGTCATTCGTCACTTTTGGTTACCCGTGAAAACATTTCCAAAATCCGTCATCAATTAGGAATCGTCTCTGGCGAAACAAGTAATCGTCGACATTCTAGCATTTTCAATAAAGCTAATATATTGCCACCTCGAAGCGATAGCAAATCAAGCCGCAAACCAAAATTGTTTCCGTCAGTATCATTAAGTAAGTAAAGCTTGATTGAAACAATTACTATTTTCAATGTGATTTATAGAGTAAAATCATGATTAGATTGCTCGATATTACTCATGAAGTATATCATATTTTTAACCTATGAAGATAATATCCCATCCTTATCGAGCAATTCGCCAAAAACGCAAGAGAAAAATAGTGATATAAAGAAGAAGCGATGTAGGTTGATGTACAAATTAAGCTAAACAATGTAGTTTGTATCTAACTAAATTTAGGATTATTAAGCAAGGATAGCGATCATCTCTTCAATAGATTCATATTTCAGTGAAAATAGTAATTACATTATAAATTAGCCCATATTATGGATTGAATTATCGAATAAAAGACATTACATTGATGAAATTTTGTCTTTACAATCTTAGACAAACGTACTCAGTCAATATCATAGCCGATTTCTTGTGCAACGCCCAAGGTTTAAAAGATTACACAAGCGTGTAAAGCTATCAAAATCTGTCGTACTACTCAAAGATGTCGACACCCCTCAATATGAAAAGAGTAAAGAATTTTACACTCTGTCATATCCCAAAATCAAGATTAAAGTTAAATAGTGACGAAGGCAAATCCTTTGCTGAGAACGAAACTGAAAGAAATTTGAAATTGTATCTTATCATCTAGTAATTTCATATATATCTCACTAGTTAATAAACTTTATACACATAAATTTATACTGACTTTGATTCATATGATGATCATATTAATTCATATTTTTGGTTTCGAAATTATCGCATATTGATCTATTTGGATTGTATTTAATGACATCATAACCGCATACACCTGCATCTATTCTGGGGTTTATTAAAAAACATATTTCCATGTAAAGTTTCAATCACTACATATCGAGATTATCATTATATTTGATATCTCTCGCTTGTATTGCTAATACTGTTAATTTTAATAGTTGTTTTAATAGCATTTTTATTTTGTATACCGATAAATAAAATGATCTATATCGGCTAAGCTACTATGCTTCGCTCTGCGATGACATTGAAACGTTTAAAATTTAGATTAATGCTACTTAAAGATATCATTTCACTAAAATGCAGTCATAGCCATAACATCTTCCTATTTACGATATATTTGATTTTGTATACAATGCATTTATGAAAATTAGTATAGAATAGATATTTGCTAATTAATATTGAAAGCTTACTACTCTTACTCCAATTAACAAATCAACTGGACTTGTTACTTAACAACTCATAGTAACAAGTGTGACAATCTCTATTAAACATTCTGCTCTTATTAAATGATTTAAATCGTCAGAGTCGCTAATGGAAATCCATTAAGATTTAACATATCACAACTCTACTTTAGATAAAAATATGAATAAATATATTTTATTTACGGTAATGATGGACCGTAATACTATTACGGATCTTTTACGATCACTTTGAGATATTATGTGATCACAGTGGAATCAGAGTTGCCGTCAGATGCTAGTACTAAATCTGTATGTATAATAGGGTGTAACGAAGTTTTCATTCTTAATAATGTTTCAAATAACAACCTTTATTGTTATTTTAAACTGAGTAATAATAGTAGTACAATAAGTCACAGATATTAGAATTTACGATTCATTCGAGAGGGATAGCGAATCTACAGTACTTATATAACATTAGAAATTAATCAATAACAAAACGAAATCATTACAACGTTTCGCAGTTTATCAACGAAGTTCAGTATAGAATTAATCTGATAACTTATAGCAATCATAACTAGCATTAAGTAAGGCTATTCGTTACATAGGTATACTAGCATATCACTATTAAATAATTATGGACGCAGAGAAACTATTTCGCTTTTAATTTGCTTATTGATTTATCAGTAGCAAGTAAGTGACTCTTTGTATATACAGCATAAGTAATACCTTCATTTTATTTACTTTTTAATGATCAGTATCGCTAAATATCTCCATTTAAAACACAGCTTTGGAATGCAAATAGGGGAATTTTATAGTCTTTAAAAAGTTGCATTGAAGTCTTTCATGAATAGGTCTCTGAGCTATATAATAAGGAATCGCGATGTTATAGTGTACAGAATAGTATCATGCGTTACATTTTAATGTAGCATTAGATGTAATGATAGTAATAGATTTTGGTAGAACCCATGGAAACCCGTAAAATTCCTCAACATAGAGTTCTAGCTAGATTGCGTACATTAGAATCTCTTGGCCAAATGTCTCTTTGTAGAAAGTATTATTTACCCTAGGCATAAATACTACGGGTATTTTGCACTACGTGACAAGCAGACCATACCTAGTATGGTAGTAGTATATGATGATGAAGATTATTTTGATGCCAATATATACTGCACTATTGAGATTTCTAAGAAATAAGCAGAAGTAGTAGTATAAAGATAAGGAAATCGGTACCATTACGCAAAATAAATACCTATGCTATATTAATATTGCATTACTTGAAAAAAAATAATATATTAAAGTACCTAGATTTCATCGGATAATTTTTCAAATATACCGAAAGTGAGTTATAATCGATGCCACAGTTACGATAAACTTCATCATTTCTAACCTCTCCAATAGTAAAGTAATAGATTAAGGAATTGAATTATCCTTATGTACTAGTAACCTATGTTTATGGTATTACTTGAATTATTTTTATAGAATTCTATAACATTAATCCTAAGCTGATTTAGAGGTTGAGCTACAAACGTCTATTTTATACAAACGGCGTATAGTACAATTATTGTATAGCTAAGCAAGGCCTAATTAACATATGATCTGTTATGCATCGCCATTTAAACTAATACTAGCAACTGTATTAAAGGTTCATACTATTTTAGACTAGCATAGGAGACAAATTTAAGCGAAATTCATGCCAAAATGAAGAACAATAGAGAGAGACGCTGTCTATTTTAATTCCTACTTCCATTTTGATTGGAAACTTCTCTACTTCTTCTTCTATTCACTCTTCCGATTGAAAACTATTTCTACTCTTACTCTCTTTATCTAATTAAAAGACTCACATTACAATTATATAATTATTAATCGATCAATTTGGATATATAGTAATATGCATAATTACAGTGTCGGATAATGTAATCGTGAATTACATTGCGCAATTAGATATATACTTATACCGCACTAATTAGGTGGAATCACAGATAGTAGACTTCATATTTTTACACCATCAATCATCAATGCAGTATTTGAAAAAAGGATTGTCCGTACATATGATATATGAAAGTATTAAATGAATAGGTTATAAGTTAGCAAACGAAAACGGCTATTCAAAAAGAATTGAAACCTATAATAATTAAAAATTTAAAATATAATCGATTGAATATATTTAGGCTTTATCATCGATCGATTTGCTAGCAATTGACTCGGTATTGACAGTCTATATCAGTTATGTAAATATCACGATTTCTTTAGCTAAAGTAACAGCTAATTAAATTATAGCATAATAACACAATCTTATTCTGCGTACGGTAGAAATGTCCTTTCTATGATAACTGCGAATGTACCACAGTGGACGAATATAATATAGCCTATGGTTATAATTACATATTACATAGCATTAGCGTGGAATCATTTTATTTGTTGCCCACGAATTAAACACTACAGACTATTGCTCCTCGCAGTATTCATAAATCAGTACGTAGAACAAGGGCTTCTTTATCAGGAAGTCAAATTGCTCATGTAATAATGGAAACTGCATACAGCGTTTTATTCAATTCTAATCATTGCATGATGACATAAGCCAATTATTATTTTAATTGCTTTATATTCTGTAGAATAATGAATCAGAAAAGTGACATTTAATACGTAATGAGGCATTCGAAGGCTACATATTATTAGCCTGCTAACAGAGTGGCTATAGCTGCAAGTAAACCTGCCTGTTGGTCTTTCTGCTTTGGCGCTTGTAATTATACCGTAACTAGTGTGTATCTTCTTGATTCTAGTATCTATGTATAGAAATTAAATTCGCTATATCATGAAATTGAATATAGGACATTTTATAATTATATAGGACACTAATTTACTTCAGTAAAATCCATACTATACGGTACTTGTACGGTTATTTTTCAGATTTTATAGGGAGAGGGTATTTCGTTAGAAATGAAAGTAAAGTGCTCGCGTTCGGCACAATCCTGTTTATAGTTGAGTTATTAGCAATGCACTAATTCTAAGTACATTTTGCGTCCTCGGATTTCTCCTTCCAAATTTTACGAGCTGAACCTTTATTCTCTTCTATTCTAATATTTTTGGTTTCTTTTTCCTTTTGCTCAGCAAATAAAAATTTGTTCCTCAAGAGTCTGAAGCAGTTTACTCGTACAAGACACTATTACATGAATTGCCAAATTTATCGTTGAAGAGTGTGCTAGTCAGATGTTGCAATTTCGACATCCAATATAGTTAACAAAGAAAGTAAATATATGAATTGTTTAATATGAAATATCTTAAAATACTTTTATTATCTGGTAAACTACTAGAATTGTATGATAAATGAAATCAAAGGCAAGATTTAACAAAGGCATTGATTTACTTCAATAAACTTAAACCAATTTCAATTTATCAATCCGTCAATCAATTAATTAAGTATAAATTACAAATAGATTCCAGTCCATTATACTATAAAGTATAAAATTGTCTATACTGGCGGTGTTGTTTAGTATAGCCGGAGCAAATCTATCCTGAAAATTAGTTTAATTTATTATTCGTTAAATTATATAATATTTAATGAATAGAAGGTCACATGAAGTATGTAGGAAATAAAATCAATTCCTGACAATAAGGATTCCTGTAATTATAAAGTAAAAAGTGTACGTCCATACAGAATGCCAAGTATAACGAACATAGATTCTATTAGTGATTTTAAATCCATAGTCGAGCAATGAGCAATCAAGCGCTTAGGTAAATAAATTATCAATCTTATGAAGTAGATCGTTTTTGTTCTTCAAGTTGTTTATTATAGCTGTATATTTCTCCTTTTCTTTTTTTATACAAATGTCGATCGTCTTAAATAAATCACAGAGATAAAAATATAAATATTCGGATATTGTTTTGATTCTTTTCAAAGACAATCTTTCATAATGCATTTCCGATAATTAAAAATTAAAGAATAATTCGCATTTTTAATATGTGTCAATAGCTATATTACAAAAGTAATCATTCCCATGCTCAGAAAAAAAAGAAATTATAATGAACAATTATTGTCTTCATTTTATATTTTTCTTCAAGTTCATACTACCAATACTGTCATTGTCCAGAGTAATGATGATATGATAACAAATACAGAGATTTCAGATGCTGAATATCTAAGGACATTACTGTAGCATTAATACCATCAGCTTTCCGCCCTGGATGCTTTATTTTAAATGAGTGAACGAATAATTTACAGTACTAAAATTTCTAACTTATATTTTTGTAACTACTAGCCACAATATTAAAATAAATAATTTATTACCTTTCCAAAGCCTAGTAGTTGGATGTCATACGATGCTAGAATGAATTTGTAAACTTTTGCAGTGCTCAGTCTTTTCTGATTTTTTCTTCTCGCTTTTTTCTTTAACTGTGCCTTTACGACGCTGTTTCTACTGCTAAAATGGGTGATATTGTGAGCCTGTCATCAAAGTATCCACATGTTGGTAATCGTAAAATTCAACATATTCAATCCAGTTCAACGCGAAGTTTCTTCAACGGTAAAAATGCAATGGACGATATTCTATCAGTTCTAACTTCGGCTCATAATTTATTCGAAAAGGGTTGTTACCAGAAAGCTAGAATCCATTTTCAACGAAGCTATGATATGTTAAATACATTTATGGATGCTGTTGATGAACGAGACGAACTTCAATGTGATATCGGCCTTCAAATTGCTAGTACATATCATGAACAAGGCTTATATGATCAAGCTAATGAGCATATTCTATGTTCTGAAGTTTTAGCTAGCAAGCTGGATGATCGTGTCAGGACTGCGAATTGCTTTGATGCAAAAGGAAAAATCAGTTTTATGAAAAATAGCCTTCAAGAAGCATTTGATTATTTTAATCAATCATTAGATATTAAGTTACTTATTTTACCGCATAACCATATTGATATTAGTGATACTTATGATAATATTGGAGATGTATATAAGAAAAAATGTAAGCATCAAAATGCTCTAGCCTTCTATAACAAATCTTTAACTATTAGATTGAATTTATTCGAAGATACTGCTAATTTACGTCTTGCGTCATCGTATCATCGACTTGGTAGTATTTACTGCTTACAGCGTCAATACATCGATGCTTTAGTAATGCATCAAAAATCCCTCAGCATGAAATTGTGTTTGTTAGACAATGCAAGCTTACCCGTTGCTAACTCGTATCATGAAATGGGAGCCGTCTACTGGAGGCAGGGTAAAATTAATGATGCTCTTGCATTACACAATACATCCCTCGAAACTAGATTGGAAATAGTCGGTAATAGTCATTTAGATGTAGCATCCTCTTACCACGAAATTGGAATTATCTACGGTATACAAGGTCAATATAAAAATTCTTTATCAATGCACGAAAAATCATTGAAAATTCGACTAGATATATTAGGAGATGATCACTTAGACATTGCAGCATCATACTATTGCCTTGGTAATATCTTTCACCTTAATAATCAGCAACATGATGCTCTAACCCTGCATCAAAAATGTCTTAATATTATTTTGAAATTGTTGGATGATAATAATTTACATGCTGCCGATTCTTATCACGCAATTGGAAGTATCTATATGAAGCAACAAAGATACAACGATGCCTTAAAAATGCATCAGCAATGTCTAAGTATTAAGTTAGCGGATTTAGGAAGCAATACCTTGGATGTTGCTGCTTCATACAATGAAATTGGAAATATACTCACCAAGCAAGGTAAACATAATGATGCCCTATCATTATATCAAAAAGCGTTAGAAATTAAATTAGACGTTCTTGGTATGAAAAATATACATGTAGCAGCTATTTATCGTTCTCTTGGTAATATCTACTGTGTGCTCGAACAATATGATCTTGCAAAGTTAAGATTTCAAAAATCCCTAGATATACTGTTGGACTTACGAGGTAGTGATAATTTAGATGCGGCAAGCTTATATTACGAAATCGGAACAATTTATCACATCCAGGGCAAAAACAATGACGCGATAGGAATGTTAGAAAAATCACTTAGCATAAGATTAGCCATCATGGGCAATGCTAGTAGCGCTGTGGCAAAATCTTATTATAAACTTGGTTCTGTCTACAGAAGCCAACTAAAGTACAATAAGGCTTTATCTTTACATCATAAGTCTCTATCAATTAGATTGGAAATCTTGAGTAATTGTAACTTGGATGTTGCCGATTCCTATCATGAGATTGGCAACGTATATTATTCGCAACATAAATATAGTAATGCGATATCAGCTTATAAGAAATCTTTAAACATGAGATTAGAAATTTACGAAAACATTCATCTAGATATTGCCAAGTCTTATCATAACCTTGGGCAATCTTATTATCAGCAATCAAACTATCCTGATGCCCTATCTATGTTTCAAGAGTCTCTTAATGCCTTTATCCAACTGTACGATGAAAATCATCCGACTGTAGCTGATGCATACGATAATATAGCAAAAGTGTATGATAATCTAAATTATGTTACTGATGCTAATCAAATGCGTAAGAATGCCTCAACTCTCCACTCTAATTTACAATTACTATCCAATAAAAAAGAAAATGATAAGACAGTAGAAATTTATTAATCGTTTATTTCTTCATCGTCGAGAAAACTTAATCAAGAATCTCACTAAATACGGTAAATATAATTCCTTTTCCGAACAAAAATACTTTAAATTACGCTATGATGACCTGTCAATAGGCTATTTTTTTCCTGACAGGTATTTTTGTTTAAAGTTATGAAAATATTTCTTAGAATGAATAATTCTGATACGCTATAAGGGCTATTGCTACAGTTCAATTTTATGCTGTAAATAAATTCATAGAACTATCGTAATCAAACTTATAGTAATCCAATCTAAAATCTTCTATTTATCTATGGACCATTCCATGTGAATTTGAATATTGAATAAATTAAATTAGTAACATAAACTAAGGTAGTGCAATTCTCGACATGTTATTATTACAGCAATGCAAAACGCTAATATCGTACCGATACTCTTGGTCTTGTTAATTACAACTTAACAGCTTCGTTTATATCGAAACTGAATGGCAATTATATTATTAAATTTTATCTCTATTCTCCACGTTTCGCAATATAAGTTGCTTATAGAATTGACGCCTGAGTCCAATAGATGTAACAAGAATAAAAATACCGTATAATACAATTTTGTATTTATTATTTCGCTAGTTTAATAAAACCTTGAATTTACAAAGTCAGTGAAATGATCCTTGATTTTGTAAAATATACGATCGGCTTGCGTTTCGTACTAATGATAATTTTAATACTAGAAACTACCAAAGTTTTAATTGTTATCCTCTTTACTATGATCGTGGCAATTTAAGATTTTAAATTGCTTATCTCTAGCCTATATGATAGAATTATTTTAGATCCAACCTCGAATATCAAATTCAAATGGAATCGAGTCAGAGCAGTGTTTAGAAGCTATGTCTTGGTAAAATAAGCAGATGCTCTTCGCCTTTACCTTCGTAAATAAAATACTGATTCTAGGGTATAATGTAGATCTAAATATTGCCGAGTTACCGTGTATGACTAGAATTTAGGAGGTAAAAAATAATGTTCATAATGGCAATATTTGTTTTCAAATCATTATTCATAGCAAAAGAAGCAATGAGAATTGATTACATTAAGAAGTGATGACATTTTTCTTACCCTCTGCTTTCTCAGAATACTCTAACTTACAGTTTTCAGGTTGACACACTATCAATAATTTAGTATTTTCTACTGTATAGAAAAGCACGTACAATAGGCTTTTTGTCACTGGTTACCGAAGCGGGAAAACAAATTATCGTAAATACTAAATCCTACTTTATCTATTCTATCAGATCATTTAAAAACACATCAAAATTATTGAATAACACAGGCATGCGTGCAAATTCAATTTTAGTCTTGCATTAGAAGCACATAAATTATTAAAATATGATCTAGACGTCACTAAAATCTTATAGAATACATTGCTATTTCATTTCCTGAATAAGTGTTAAAATATCGTTTATGGCTGACACATATCGAGAAAACTATTTCATATAGTGTATCCTCAAAATTATTGTGCTAGACCATATCTCACTTCAATAAGTGCCGCAATATTAATAAAGCCTAAGTTACGTCATGAAAAATTGCGGTATATAAAGACTGATAGGGTATCACTAAAAACCAACGAACAAAATGATTATTTAGATTACAGGTTTATTTACCTTCTCAGTCTCTCCACCTCTCTAGTCTGTTCCCCACTTATACCAGCAAAAAGGATAACAACCAGAAGCTGCTATTTTTAATAGAAATGGAAATATTGCTATAGCAACAACGTTAATACATCTATACGTACTGTATTTATCCTCATCAGTATTATCCATTACTACTACACATGCTTTCGTGGTGTATTTGTAGTTGATACAGAGTATTCCATATTAGGATAAGAGTTTTAAATTACATCTTCAAAAGATAAGCTATTGGTCTAGTGATGGAAGCCTAGTTCAAATAGCGCAAACCTCTACTGCTTTACTTATATTTGAGAGCAATACAAAAACAGCAATTTCAAAAAATAAAGTTTATTATAGACCAACCACAATTCTACTCAGCATTTGTTATACATTGATTGAAATTAACTGTTGCAAGCACGATTACAATATTAGTCGCAACATAATTTTTAAGACTTGGAAGATTATTTATATAATTTATAGCTTTATCAGGATTATACAAGATATTAATAAGTAATATCCCTCTTTTCGAATTTTATATTTCTTCAATTTTGTCACCTACTCTAGGTTGAAAAAATTGTTATTTTAAATATTAATTTTCATTTTACACTTGTTATAATAAATTCGTCCACAGTTACTGGATCATACTAGATTGACAGTAAAAATATTAAATTTATATGATCCTAATATCAAATTAGCTCATAATTGGATCGTGCCTACTATAAACAATTTACTTTTATTATTTTAAATGATCAGGTCGAACTGTTATAACGTTATTACTAATAGACCAGTGACGATGCGAACGCCAACATGTCGGCAATGCTTGCCTTAATTTATCATTATAAATGATATTGAGGAATGGTATACTGATACAGGAAGAAAGAAAGAATAAGTCGCCAGATTCTAACAAAATAGGCACAAGATAAGAAAGGTGATGATAGCTATCATCATGACGAGGAATGATAAAAATAGATAATAAAGTTACTATGATCCATATCGTAGTAAAAAGCAAATACAATGCAATTAAGATATATAACATGCGAATAATCTTCGTTTTCCGACGTCGTAAAATTTCAAGTCGTTGCTTCTGACGTGGCGTTAATTGATAAAGTGGAGAATTCCTATTTCGAATACAAATACGCTTTCGTTGTAGTTTAACAGGCTGTAGCTGAAGTTCCTCTTGTTGGGTTTGAGATTGCGATGGTTGCTGAGACTGCTGATCCTGCTGCGATTTTTGCAATGATGGTTGTTGGAGTGATTCCAAAGGCTGCTGTAAACATTGATTTAGCTGTTGTGATGGTTGTGACGTTAGAGGCTGCTGTAGCTGTGGTAGAGATTCATTTCGTCGACGACTAGGCAGCTTGGGCAGCCGTCGAGGCAAAGGTAATTGATGCATTTGCTGTGATTGTTGCGATGGCTGTGCCTGTTGTGGTCCATGTTGTTGTTGTTGCGGGAGCTGCGATGATGAAAAGCGAACTCGTGGCCTGGCTAATCGCTTACCACTTGATCGTCCCCAATCACTTTGCTTCATTTTATAAGCAATTTTACCATAACAAACTACGACCAGTGTTCCAGGTAATAAATATATCATGATCACGAGGAAAATGATATAGATTAAACTTCCTATAAGATCAACGTTGTATTGAATTTCACATAGAAATAATTCCTCAGGTACAGTTGGATTAACATATTTCATCAATGGTAGCGCAATGGCAATCCCAATAAACCAAGTTGAAGGTACAACATAGGACAACGTAAAACTGCGCGTTAACTTACGACCAAAGGTTAATGATATTTGGCGTAATTGCTCGATGCATATGACGGATAAAGTGATCATAGCCGTATTATATATCGCTAATTGTATAATCATAACTGCTTTACATAAGTAAAGAACTAGATTGGGATCGATATTATCCACTTGAACATTGATGATAATTTCCACTGTTAATTTTTGCAGCAGAACTAAAATAATACATACTGTATAACTTAAAGATAGATTGACGAGCAAGCATTGAATTGCATTTAAATTAGATTGATCACGAAGCGCAATCTTGATGATAAATATATTAATTAGTATACCAAGAAGGCACACAATCATATCCATAATGATCATCGGTGTTAATACCGCTATGATTATATCAAGTTGCTTACTATCGGGAAGAAATAAATCCGTGTATGACAGTAATTGATGAATTTGGCCAAACAAGCTCCACTCCGTAAAATTATGCGACATAACGGTTTTCGAAGCAGCAGTAGCAGGTTACCAGTATAATTGACACTGACCTTTACACTTAGAGATAAAGTTCATAAATATATTGATATAGTAGCACTTAATTGGATAAATTCCTTTTTAAAGTAGTGATTAGTCGTATATCATGAAATATTTTAATACGTCAAATTCGTAATGATCAAGACTGATTGCACTGCTTGTTTCAAGTAAAGAATTTTCAATACAGTTTATTGACGAAATACGGTAATGAGCCTAAGTTAGCTTGATATACTGTATTTTGATAAAATGGACATGTAAAAGGCTGTAAGATTCTAAATAGGTTAAAGGTGCAATAGAGCCTAGTACAATCTTATGGTTCTTAATTCATTATACGCATTAAACTTTTATCTATACAGGACCACCGAGGACGTTTCTTTTAACATTCGACAATTGAAGACTCTAATTAATTTTATTGTATATTTTAGTTGCTTACTAGAAAGTTAACACCTTTTCTGAAGGGTATCAAATCCAATTAATTCTTGTTAGTACAATGGCCTCGGCTGAATATCTTGAAAAATAGAAATCTACTAATGGCGGATAAAAAATAACAGCCAAAATAAATAGACAAAATCAATTTTTTTCAAGTTATCTCCTTATAGCTCTAAAATGTAAAAAAAAAATTATCTTCCTTATCCCTAGGTTGCTAAATAAACTTTGTATCTTGGAAAGTGCCAAGCAGGTTATTGTGTATGGAGAAGATGGGCTTCTGCTGATAATATCAAATACAGTGAAAATACTGATATCGATCTTTAAATATGGAGTTAAAGTTTCTTCTATTTTTTCTTTACCGAATGAAATAGACGCAACACAAATGACTAATAGTCAGCTATAATAAATAAGTCATTATATTATAGAAGACTAATGCAGAAGCGATTAATTTCTTGTAGTGAAAATGATCCAACGATTGCTCTATTACTTGAATGCTTGCTTTCATCAGTTCTTACGATAATAATCAGTAAATTTTTCTCATCCAAACAATATTTCGCAATTTCATCAATAAAGTATTCAATTTACATGTAATCTTTAGCGTTAGATTATCTCCAATCTTCTCTTACACTATTTATCGTCTGTCAACTGGAGTGGCAAGTTATTAACCTATAGCACGAAATTCCAATGATAGGTATAAAAGTGGTTTATTCCGAGCCAAATCAATAATTTTTTCAATAATTATATTAATAATTGATATAAAGTTAATAGATGATTCTTCTTAAAATCAGTTACGATATTTGCATCTCATGCTGTCCAAGTGAAATTTGAATGTTCTTAAGGTTTTTAAGGATTCTGCCAGGGATTGATTCGACACTCTACAAAACTTGTCAAGACTGAAGTTTTCTGGATAGCAATAAATATTTATTTCCTAGCATTAGAAAAAATTAAATCTGTTTAATTGAACAAGAAAATTAATTTCTCACTGAGAAGTAATAGAAGTGCAACTACAAAAATTCTCTCCACTATAAAGTTGATGATATCACTGACGAAATTCGATTCAATTGTTGTGATGGTTAATCAAGGTACAACAACGAGATTGTCAGCAACTGTTGCTGTAATTTATTTCTTAAAATCACTAAACTTTAAAGAGATAAAAGCTGATTTAACCCTAATTTAACATCATGCAAATTTGAAAGAATAACACAATCTTAGGGCAATATCGTAAATCTATACGATCAATTTACAAAACTATCAATCTGTAACAGCTTAAGTGGATGCTCATATCACTAAAAACTTCAACTAACTATTTTAGATTAAATCGCTGTTATCCATTAAGCTTTTGATTACTAACCTTTTAGATCAAAACATTCATCAATCTTATTAGTACAAGTTACTATATAATGCTAACCCAATTCTATTGAGGACTACAGCCATAAAGATATATTGAAATTGATTTTGGTTTCATCATATGGAGATAGCAATTGAAAGGTAAAAGACTTCTATCTACAAAACTGTATCTTGATATTACCAATATGTTGGCAATTGATCTAAAGTGTCCGAGTCCCTGTCTGATAGGAAACTTAATCTAAGACTTAATGTAAGTCAATAATTTTAATACTATTGTTTAAAATATTTTACAAATGGTAAGATAATTGCAAAGCTGTAATAAAACACAGGTTAGCCATAACATGTATTATTTGCGAACTATAGGGAGTAGAAAATCGCAATGTCAACAATATGAATCATGCGATAATAAAGACAATGTATTGGAATAGCAGTAAATCATCACAAATTTATAAAACTATTTTCTTGGAAAATAGAAATCGAAATAAATAATTATAGAAAACACAATAAAAAACAACATCTGGTGTTATTTAAGGTTACCGCATTGTAGTTATTGTGATTAAGCTTGAATTTATGGATTATTATATACCTACAATAAATTGTAAAGAGTTAGGCAATATTACCAAATATTTCGTTAAATTCCCTGATTGACAAAGTAATACTAATGGTTTGATGCAAAAACAATTAGGATTGACCTTGAATTCATCATCTATAAAAGCCGCACAAATTATATTCTTTTCTAGCTGCCCACCTATTTGATGAAAATGACTGAAATGATAACGATCATAAAATAATTAAAGCACTCTATCGTAAGTAATAAATCCGACTCGATTGATCAACCTTAAAATTGATCATATCACTTACTAGCCCTATAGCCCTATAAAATTTACTTTATACCACCTTGACCTATCATTTCGTTATAATTAAACGATGTTATAATTAATGCATAACAACTATCGATCGGGCTCGTAATAAAAACAATAATCAAATATCAATTTCATTCCTATTTTTCAATGTTTATCCGTCACAATAAATTAATAAACGTCAACATTTAGTGTTTAGTACCTAATGCATAGATTTAGAAATTAAGCATTAGATATCAAAGAAAATCAGGATTAAAAATCACCAGCCATAAAATTGAAATGGCGATTGCCCTTATTTAATCAGTTATTATTAAAGTCATGTCTTATTGGTGTCTTGTTGCTTGCATTGTTTTACCCGCATATCATTTTATTATTCTCAACGATGATATTCTTAATATTCTATTATTAACAATCAATTCATCCCTGACCTTCTACATTAACATAAATATGTTTATACCTGCTTTATACACGCATATTCACAGAGACAATATATGCACATATAATGTCACTGATTCCGTAAGCCTTTACGTCGCGAATGGTTAGATTTTAAAACATATATGATAATTCATAGAGTTTAATCTTCGTCTAGAGGTTTATAAAATCTTTTTATTATAAATTTTATGTTTGATAAATCTGCAAAGGATACTAAGCGAATCAAAAATATTTTAATTATGTACATCTTTGGGATAATTGCTAGTTAGAAAAACAGAAAGAGTAAGTAATGCATTCATAGTTACTGTTAGCAATATTGCAAAAACACTATGGCTAAGTGAAGATTGTGACTGAGCATTCAATTTCATTTAATATCGTTAACTCATCTGCTAAACTAAATGAAATAAAGCTATTTACAAGTACTCTACAAATATATATATTAAAGCTGCGGCTTCATTATGGATGTAATTGTATTTATATCATATAATATCCCCTTTGATTGCATCGATTATTCATGCAATATAAGCCGACGTATTTTATAAATCTATAGATAAGGTATAGATATTGAGGTAAAATGTTTAGTTAGAAGTACAGGTGTGCAAGGAAAACATTAGATCGGTGCTGCAAATGACCTTGATTAAAATTTGCACTATTTTGGGGGAAAATCATTTAAATACATTAATTCAGCTTCCCGATAAGCATAGTTTTTTATAATTCAGCGAAGCTTTCCTCCTGCTACATGTATATCAGATTTAAAATTCAAGTTAATGCTACAGTATAATAATACCATTCATATTTTGTTCTGAAAGCAACTTTAAATATTTCTAAGAACTCAGCTATGAATAAACTAGTCATACTTTAGCTTAATTAGATATTGCGACAACCGCTATGCTCATATTTTAAGCCAGAACGTCACGTCATGTTTACGATCATAAATAGATTAGAATCTTATAATATTTTATAAATGTAAAATTTGGTAGGTATCTGCTTAACAAGCATTACTATATCTATTACATAGTATATTGCTATAAATGCGTATTCATATTTCAATGTGAATAAAATTGCAGTAAAAATCTTAATTTGCTAAATAGATTCTATCATTCAAAATCATAAAATTTTTATTTTTAACCATAATATTACCTCATAGATTCGATTAGATCTAGGCTAAAATCTTATCCTTACTTAATTAGATACTATTTAGAGAATATGAGCGTAATTGTTATATTCATAGCAAGGCTTATCATTGTAATAATATATACCATTCTTTGATACGAATAATTATTAAAGAGTTTTATGGATTAAACTGAAAGCTGTTTGCAATATATTTCTGTTTAAACATAAAATAGCTTAAAAGAGCTTTGGAAGTTAATGTAAAACTCTTAGCTTAATTATATTCATCGATATAAACTTAATATCTTATTCGAACATCTTACATATGATTGCACGGATTAAACTTTCATTGAGTTAGCTATAAGTTTTTAGATATATTTATGTTTATCTTAGCGACTGCTTCTTTATACTATTCATTATGTTTGTGACTACGGTGTCGTCTGCATTGCTGTTTTTATATTTACTTGAAAAAGCATACGTTAGAAAATATCAATAAGTTCGGAACTTTAATAGTCACTTTTACGTGTGCCTATGCAATGACGTACACATATTCTAACCCACATTAAAAATTTGAATAGACCGTAATGAAGCTAAATTGAAAGTTATTAATATTTGCCTTGAAGAATAGCAACTTAAAATAAAGCCAAAAGCAGCTGCACTCTGATTACAGTAAATACTAATACCTTTTCATATTGATAGGTAGTACATCACTTTAGTTGATTGCAATTTTGGTAACGTAGTTTGTCTTAAAAAGCTTTGCATATTATTTCCTGTTTATCCGATTTT